TTGTTGTTAGCGCTATTCGGCGCCTGCTTCCTGCTCGTCGCCCTCGCACTAATGAGATCGCAATAGGACTAAGCCTTGGAGTATAGGGCTCCAAAGTGGGTAGGCCATTCCTATGTGGTCTGACCCACTCCAACGCCTTGCCTCACGGTGCGTGGTTTACCCATTCCGGAGTTTCGCTCCCTCCCTAAGCTTAGTCGTTGGCGCTGTAGGTAAGAAAGCTTAGTAAAGCAAAAAGTATGCGTAAACAGCACGAATGTGAAAAATGAGTGTCATATTCATGATCAGGGCCCCAAATAACCCCTATGCAGAAGTTTACAGTCGTCTCATCAAACGTCCATCAACCATTCCTCTTCCAGGTTCTCCAGAAGCTCTACCATCCATCTCTGCAAAAATAACCTACCTCCCTCTTCACTGCTAGTTAGCGGTCCACTTCTGGTTACCATTTCCTCGTTCATTATCAAATCCATGGCTATTAAGCTTCAAACTCCTTGTCGCAATCAAAGCCGACACAAATATCGCGCTCCAATCGCGCGTTCTTATATACCGTAGTTGTTTTCGCTACGGGTGCGCCAGCCTGCCGCGCGATGTCGCGTTGCGAAGAGCGAAAAAGTCGCGTTCTGTCCTAAGTACCCACACCCAATCAGGTTACCGGGTGGTGTGAGGGCAATGGCGCTCCTTGCTACGCGCGCGATCCAGTGATCGAATCTTGGGTCATGGTATATGCCGAATCGTACCCGTATTGCCACTACGATTCTGAAGTGAAGTAGAATGCGTGTGCGCATCCCAAGCCGCCTGACTGCCAGTCATTGCATGTTGTGCTTTATCCAACTCATATGGTTGTCGATAGGTAATCGAAATAAAAGCTTGGAGCAAAATTTGGTGGTTATTAAAAAAGGAAATGTGGCAGAGCAGCACCATAACATAGATAGGTCCACGAAGACTTATATGGTAAAGGGTGAAACTCGCAGTTCGGGGGGGGGGGGCTCCATTTTCTCCAATACTCACCTATAAGAATAAGGGCTCACACGATAATCGAATTCCATTAGTAGACTTCTGAAAAATATGGTGTAATGGGTGAGAAACCCTGAAACGTTTTCACATTTCCGCCTGCCATGACCCAAGGGAACGGTCCTGGACCAGGAGAAAGGACACCTCCGCAAAGGGCTAAGGGTGCAGGAGCTCCAGGGTGGATCACCTGTGCAGAAAAGTGGATGGGATGTGGGCATAGTGTGAAATGTAGGACATCCACCGGTCCTTATCAAAAGTACGCTCGAAATGAGTCGTTCACTTATTATCTTATCCGTAGTGTTCGATAGCCCAAAGAACTGCTCTCTAGTACTACGGATAAGATAGCAATGGAGTGGCCTCCCCCCCCCCCCCGAACTGGAGTTCACCGGGTAAAGAAAAGATGAAGCTGAAAGTCAATTTCAAAAAATTGGGAAATGAGCCGTTCATACCCCGCCTAACTCGCTAGTTACTGATGGATGGAGAGCGAGGAATACAGGAAAATTCGAGCACTTATAGGTGAAGCAAGGAATTAATTTCGAACACGTATAAGTAAAAAGGCAGCAACAGTCAAGTATGAGAAGTGTAAAAGTATGAGAAGAGGATGATGACATGTGTGAAAGAATAGAATGAGATGAGAAAAAAAGCAATAGGAAATAGAGGAGGAGGCGTGCAGTCTACGAAAATTTTGAAGAGATAAGTACGTATGTGGAAAGAAATGGAGACGATAACAAAAGCGAATTGACTGAAAGTGCTCAATCAGCACTAATTACTGCTGTCACCATTTCTTTAATCATTTACTTTTCTTCTTATGACTAGCTGTGTTTGAAGCAATTCGGAACAAGAGGGTGAGAGTGGAGAAGACGTCGTCAAAGGGAGGCAAGCAATTGCCTCAGAGAGTCACGTACAAGACATCCTTCTGAGGACGATAAACGGATGAAGAAAAATCATTGATGTAAAGATTGTGAACCGTTCCATAAAATTTGATTTTTCAAATACTTTACACAAGTTTTTTTGTTCCTACTTCTGATAGTTATCTCTCGGACATTGTTGGCTGTGCGGAAGTGCCGCTGAAGAAGACCACAACTTATCAATCTGACCACAGATGCGCTCATTTGCAACTGATTCGCGTTACTCGTCGTACAGCTGGCGATAAGCAAACTGCCATTTTACCAATGAAGAGCTCCGAGAACTAGCCTTTCGCTCTCCTTCTTTCATTCAAAATTCGTACTGATATGAAGGCTTCTGCGAACATTCAAAGATCATTGGGAGACAAAGAGAAGAACAACCCGTCGAACACCATAGTACAACTTGGATAAAAGGTGACATAGGCTTGAAATGGAATAAGCTTTGGTTCTAAGATCTGTAGACTACTCTTCTAGAATAGGACTACATAGTAATGGCCACCACGTTTCTACGGCTTTTTGCAATGACATGTACGTCATTGCATTCGCCTTGGGACGAGCTCAATATTGGTTTTGGTATGTGCTGAGGGATGCTTTGAAGTTACACGGAGTTACAGTACCGTTCGAGAAGAAACCACTGCAGAAATCCTTTGCTACAACTCATTTCAAATTTCATATTTTTGGCCGACTTTTTGACAACACTTTTTCAAACTCCACCGATTTCCATGCGAGGTGCAAGAGATCAATTACCATCATAGAAATGGCTTTTTTTCGAATGTTCACAGGAGTGGCAAATTTCCAAGAGCTCCATTGGTTTTTACTCCTTGAGTTATCTCCTAGTCGTCCTTTTTTTATTCGTAGATCGTAGCGGAATTCATACACTAACGGTCAAAAGTGTTCACTGAAGCGGTTTTTCATGCGTCACATTTTCTTTTTTCAAAAAAGTGTTGAAGAGTAAACAGACTTTTCTTTCAAGTGCTTTGAATCCCTAGAACTCAGAGATTCCAGAGAACTAGAAGGCACACCATGTTCAAATTTGAAAGATTTGGAAAGGCAAAGAAAAACAGGGCACGAACAAGCCGTTTCAGCGAGGACTTTTGACCGCAAGTGTTCATCAGTCCTTGTGATAATACGGTACAGTTTTTGTTGGAGTGTCAACAGGAATTTTGTCATGCTCTAAAAATGACCATTAGACCGGAATAAAAGAACTTTGAAGAAAGTTCAGTTTTAAAAGATTTTGTACTAATACTCATGTCTTATCAAAAATCAGCCATTAATATCAGGTTCGCAAAAAATTATAGCAAAAAATATCTGATAACAAGAGATCTATTTTTTTACGATTCTGTATACTGTTTTCCCCCGCACAGTTTTGCATGCAATCCTTATCGAAAATGCTCTTAACTGCTTGCAATCCTTCCACACAGGCATCTGTAGGCAAACACTGACGCCGTAATGGTGTCAAAAGTCATGGAAACTACGTTGCCAAAAAGAACAAACTCAACATGGACTTGATACAACGATCTGCTGCCCGTGAGCCAGGCAACACTACCACTGCTTCCGCCTTTAACTCTATTCAGACAATCGTTCAGCGGACACGGAAAGGAGTTCTAAGCTCATTGTCAGCTTCTCAAGTCGATTGCAGCGCTGTACACCTCGTTTCAAATGACCGACTTGTTGTCCTCCACTGATGAGAATTCACAAGAGCAAAGAACAAAAGCCTAAAGGTCTAGGCAATCCACAACAGAACTGTTTATTTAGCATCAGAGTCCCATCATTTTCGGGCATTTAGTCTCTCCGTATTTCCCCTTTGTGGCCTTATTTTAGTGCTCCACACAAACAAACCTATTAAACGCTGGCCAACGATCATCAGCGCCAATTGACCTGTGGTATTTTGGTTGCACCACCCTCTACATATTTTGCTAGCATTTCAAAAAACCGTTCCAGGAAAA